GTACTTGATTGTACTTGTGGTAGTAGTCCAAGTAGTACTCTGTCCAGCAGTACCAGTTTCACTGAGAACTTATGGCAAAAAATCATTTTATCCCTCATCAAACATAGCAAATACATGAATTATTGTACTCGGGAGGGGAGTTTGATAGAGTATTACTAAAAAGGTACACAGTAAAAGTACTTGATTGTACTTGTGGTAGTAGTCTAACAAGTACTGAGTCCAACAGTACCAATTTTATTAAGAACTTATGGTAAAATATGCATTATTTTATTCGTGTACTAGCGTCAGTGCCGCTTCTCGGCGATTACCGTAAAGACGCTATTAATCGCGCACTCAAAAATGAAGAGCTGCTCATTTGACCAAGCCAATTTGAGAGACGGCTGAGTTGACCGCAGTGTTTAAGCCGCGAGCTGCCTAATAACCGACAGGCTATATGAGGCAGCCGCTTACCCCTAGATTCCACCGGGTCCGTCTGTGCCGCGTTACGGCTGCGCCGCGGTTTTGGTCCGGCCTCCTCCGGCGTCATACCCTACCAGGCCCGTTTCAGAAGCATTTCAGAAGCGGAGCGTCTTGCCTGCCGGCTCGCAGTTTTTGTTGATTTGGGCATATTTCCTGGACAGGCTACTTTGTACAGACAAAGTTAATAATAACTGTAATATTCCAGTTATAAACGACATGAATCAAAGATGTGTTGCTGTATTTTAGTGGTAAAAAAATGCATTCATCATCATAATTATTCTATATATATAATTTACACAGTGCCTGTAAACCGGAGGAGAACGCTGGCATTTCTCCTCCTACTTGAAAGACTACGGAGGGATAGGGTCTGCAAAATTAGTTTGTGTGTGTGTACAACGGAGGCCTTTGTGGGAGCAATATAAAGGTTTCACTATAACTGAATTTTAAAGTTAGACTGACAGTTAAAATAGTTACAAGACAATTCACATATAATCATGTTATGCACCTGATTTGTCTAAAAGCAATAGCATACTACTTTATAAAATACAGCATACTTCATCTTCAGTGGCGACTGGTCATTAGGGGCACAGCCCCACCTAGTGTCAGCAGAAAGTATTACAAATAATGATTACAAAAATGCAAAAAAATAAATAAAAAAATATATAAAATATATTTTAAGATCATGTTTAATCATCTGATTCGTCTGTACATTGCTGTTTTAGTCTGTGTTCTTCTAATTAGTGTGTCTACAGTCACAGTGTGTGCCTATTGAGCTGTTTAGAGCCATGTGGGACAAAACCTGATTATGCCCCTTCCTCTCGCTGTGAAGTCAACGGTGACTGTAAAAACTTCACTGCGCATGCTCAGAGTATTTTGTAATGAAATGTGTGTGGCAAAAAAATAATGACCAGAGGGGCACGGAGCTACCATCCCCACCATACGTCATCTCAAATCATTCAGAGCTGATTGGCTGTAAGTACGTGTGCCGCGAAAAGTGTGGTGTGTGAAGAGGAGACGAGAGAGCTGCAGTGGCGCATCCTAAAACCAGGAAGTAAGCACAAAAAAGCAATGAGATTTCTCCAGAGGATTTTAGAAAATAGCTCGAAATAAGATCTGTGGGAAACGTACCTGTTAGATAAATGCACGTTTTGATTAGCCGGATAACATCCACATGTCTACCCTACTTTTATAATTTTTTTTATCATAAATCTATGGATTAGATTTATGATAGACTTTTGAAACTACAAGAACATAAGGAGGACTTTTACAAAAAAGTAATAGAAATGTTTGTCCAGAAGGATAGGAAAATGGACTTCATCTTCAAGTCAAGGTAAGACCGCCATTTTATTGAAAATGGGATCTTACTAAGAGAGAATAATTCAATATTTAAATGATAAAATTACATTTTTTGGGTATCCTTTTGTTGAACTGTCTGTTTAAAATTAATCGAAGCATCAGACAAAAAAAGCTTTTGAAAATAATATTATATTTTGGTTTAGGTCAAAATATAATATTTGTAAACCTGAAGAGTCAGTGCCAGTGCCTCAGCAGCCATGAACCTCACTGCACGTCACTGCAGAAGCTTATATATAGACATCTAAGTTTTTTGTGCCCCACCACTTTTGTACATATAAAAACGCCACTGTTCATCTTAAAGGTTGCTTGGGGTCTCCGCTTCACTTTTAGTGCCCAAAGTAAAGACAATAGTACCCCTCAAAAAGGGCCACCAAAATGTTGTTGTTCTAGTCTAAGCAAGTCTGGTTAATCATAATTGATAACCTGCAGAATTTTTATATATGTTCTATTATTTATTTATTATTAATTATTATATTTGTATAACTTAAATAACATCAAATCACCTCTTGGGGGCACCACGTTGTATACAAGGAAAATTATAGCCAGTGTATGAAGTTGCATTAAATAGTAACAAGAAGTTTACTAGACTGTAAATAAGGATATCTGATTAATACCTGAATAATTACTGTCAACAGGAAGACCATGTTTATAGCTAGTAAAAGTAAAAGTTACATTTTTGGATAGTAGAAGTTGGCAGAACTCACTCTTTGACAACATTAAAAAAACAGCGTATATATTCTTTCTTCATTTATTAAAGGTAGGGTAGGTAAGTTTGAGAAACCGGCTCGAGATACACTTTTAGTTATATTCCATGGAATGCTCTTAACATCCCGATAGCAATGAATATCTTAAGTGCTTTGACAAAAAATCCATAAAAAAATGTCATCTGTGGAAGCCGTAATACTGTAAAAAGCACGACCAATCATTTTAGCCGGCCCGGCTAAAATAACTGGATGGCCTACCTGCCTGTCAGCCTTCCATCTGTGCACAAACTTATCTCGTTCCCTCATTGGTCATGTGGGCGTTCGTGTGTGTTGGAGGAGGGGCTCTATAAGGAAGTGGCAGATTTTCTCCGGTTGTGTATTTTCAAATTCTAGCGATCTCGAGCCGGTTTCTCAAACTTACCTACCCTACCTTTAAGACTACAAATAAAAAACACACAAAAACTAAACTAAGAAATCCGACACAAATGTATTAATTTAAATAAAATAAATATAAACTAAATAATAATAATAATTTTATTTACCAATGAATTGTTTTAAATTCAGTGTCCTTTATCCACTCATGCAAATAAACCACTATTAGGAACTGTAAATGATTCATTAATAGTGACAATAATTATTACCAAACCATTATTTTTTAATGTGTAAGTTTATTTCAAACACTTTAATGTGTTCTAGAGGATCTCCTCCTTAATCGAAGATATTTCTGTTTACAAAAAATCAAGCAAATGTAAAAGCCTCCTCCCTCCTCTCTCCTCGACTCCTCCGCACGCATTTAAGGAATCATGACGTCCTTCAACGATCGATTTCCGGCTCAAGTTGAGGATGGATATTGGGATAAACCTTGTGAGTTTTGAAGTCCTATCTTTCCCTGATAAATCAGTAGACAGATATCGAGATATGATTGTGTTGTCTGTGTCGGATGGCGCTAGTTGGCGCAGGACCGTCTGCTCCAGAGATGGGCGAGTCCTGATTCATCCGGATCATTAACCCGGATCCTAGAAATGAGCTGGTCGTGACGAGTCTCCCCTCTCCATTAACCCGAGTCCTTGAGTCCCACACTTGGTGTGACGTACAAATTAAAACTATAAATTGCGTCACTCACTACTCTCTTTATAACATGTAAAATCACATTACAACGTACCCCAGTCCATCTACCTACCCTTTAGCAAGTATACAGGATAGCTGCCCGCCAGAAGTTATCGTTTGGCTCAGGGGAGGGGACGCGGATCAGTGAAACTTCCTGCAGACTCGTGGGGACTCAGAGGAGCCGACGGCTCCTAACCGTAATAGCATAGCAGATCCAGCGATCCATACTCGTCATGTGCACGAGCATAGCCCCTCCTCCAGCACCCGGCTCCCACACGAGTCAACAGCAGACTCGCAGATTCGCAGATTCGCAGATTCGCAAATCCTGACTAGCTGCAACACACAGCAGAGCAGACTCGTGCGGACTTGGAGCCGTAACCATATAGCAGCAGATCCAGAGATCCAGCAGACTCGTCGTCATGTACTGTACGAGTCAACAGCAGACTCAGATTCGCAAATCCTGACTCGCTGTGCAACACACAGCAGAGCAGACTCGTGCGGACTCGGAGCCGTAACCATATAGCAGCAGATCCAGAGATCCAGCAGACTCGTCGTCATGTACGAGTCAACAGCAGACTCAGATTCGCAAATCCTGACTCGCTGTGCAACACACAGCAGAGCAGACTCGTGCGGACTCGGAGCCGTATATAGCAGCAGATCCAGAGATCCAGCAGACTCGTCCTCATGCACGAGTCAACAGCAGACTCAGATTCGCCAAATCGCAAAATAACCCTTTTTTTTGTGATCAACATTTTTTATTAAAGCAAAATACACTGTGTAGCGGAGGTTAATATAACGTCAGTTTAATAGATAGATAGATAGATAGTACTTTATTGATCCCAAATTGGGAAATTGTTGTTACAGCAGCATAAAAGGCATTTTACAATAAAACAAAACTACAAAATATACAAGAATAGAAAGAAAAATAAAATAAAATATAAAATATAAAATATACATGTCGAAATAGAAAATATACATGCAGATATTATATATATATATATATATACAAATATATATATATATATTCAAAATATATGGAATAATAATATGCTCGTGAAATGCATCAACTTTTCGGTTTCACCGATAGGATTTCTACGGTCTTGGTGATGCTGACTCATATGACTCAAATGACTCGTATGATCCGGATCTCTTCAATGACTGACTCAGAAGACCCCGAGTCCGTAAAAGGATCCGGATTTGCCATCTCTAGTCTGCTCAAGCTCCAATCTATCACCCAATCATGATACTCGCTGTCCATTGTATTGGACCTAAACCAATCACGACGCGAGTTCACAATGGACGGAGCCAATCACGTCACGGCATCACAATGGACAGAGCCACTCACGGCACGGCTTGTCCCCGAACCCGCCCCCCTCACGCTTTTGGTTGACAGTGGACAAGTCGCGAGGCGCATCAGAGGTATTCAGAGTAAGTAACAACACTACATGTTTCTATTTTCCCGTTTACAGTCATAAAACCTATTTTTACAACCGTCGTTTTGGCGTCAACTTTTACATTACGGTATACAGTCGGCAACTTCAGTCTGCATAAAGGTAGCAAGCCAGCATTGCTAATGCTATCGTGTCTAGGTTAAATACACGTTATTATATTAATCAATGTCAACAGCCATGTGTGATACATCCGATTGACAACAGTAATTTAAATAAGTTGTTAAACGACTCTTGTATGAATGGGCATGTTGTAATTAGTAACTACACTTCTGTGAGCAGTGGTACATTAGTCATACAGCATATATACTGTATACACAGAGGTGGGAAGTAACTAAGAACATTTACTCAAGTACTGTACTTAAGTAGAATTTTGAGATACTTGTACTTCACTTGAGTGTTTCCATATTTTTCTACTGTGTACTTCTACTCCACTCCAATTCAGAGGTAAATGGTGTACTTTTACTCCACTACATGTGTTTAATAGCTTACCTTTAGTTACTTTCCAGATTTGGTTAAGATGCCTATTGGTTACTGGTGGCGTTTTATGAGTTTATGTTTATCAGTTTATTTGGTCATATAGACACCTAAAGTATATCATATATTATATGACATAAATATCTTTATGTGAGATAAGGGATCGTTGCTCAGTATGATATGATAAAGTGTGTTATATGCTCCAGGAAGGATACAGTATATTGTTGAATATATATTAAAGATAGCTATATACTGTATATAACATTACATTAATTGTAATTTAATATACATACATCAATCATTTATGGATAAAAGGATAACTTCACCGTTTATGAACATGATGTGTTTATACATGATTATATGTGTAGATAACCTGTATAAATAATGGTTAACATGGTATCAGTGTTGTTCGCTTTGCAGTGTAGTTCTCTCTAACACTTGCATTGTTATTTTACTTAAAAGTTTAGATGATCACTAAACCTATAAGCCATAAAGAAATGGGAGATGCAGAATGGACGGGCTTTGGCCTTCAGGAGGGATAAACCCGCTCCAAGGAAACGGAAGTGACGTGACCTCTGTCAGAAGGTAAAGTATAGAAACATATGTACCTATTACTTATTATTCACAAATGATAAGTAATTACTGAACATTTACAATTGACTGGTGCAAACATTATCAATCAAATGATTTACACTGAGTGACTCACTCCAGACTAAAACATAATGATGATAGTTTCAGATTAAGAAATGCCTCATGCATACATTTTATATCACACCCCCAGTAGTTACCCCCAGAGCCCAGCCTCCTCCCAAGCAGTCTCTGGGTGCTGTCCATGTACGGCAGGGATATCCTCTCCCACATGGACCATATCAAGGCCAGCATCACCTCCACATTTGGTTCCATCTTAAAGATGGACTCAACCAAAAAGGTCAAATATAACGTGACTGTGTATTTGATTTCCATGTTTGTTAAACTCTCTTATAAACAACAACATTAAAAACTAGTTTTTATTATAAATGTGTTCGGTTATAAAACTGCTATAGATCATTTCTAATAAATGCCTCAACTTCGCTGTTGTCACATTCCAGATCACAAAGCATCAAAGCAAGGTGGAGCAGCTGTTCCCTGCTCCACCCTCTGGCCCTCAGGTGGAGATGTAGCTGTTCCCTGCTCCACCCTCAGGTCCTCAGGTGGTGATGTAGCTGTTCCCACCCTCTGGCCCTCAGGTGGAGATGTAGCTCTTCCCTGCTCCACCCTCTGGCCCTCAGGTGGAGATGTAGCTCTTCCCTGCTCCACCCTCTGGCCCTCAGATGGAGATGTAGCTCTTCCCTGCTCCACCCTCAGGTCCTCAGGTGGTGATGTAGCTGTTCCCACCCTCTGGCCCTCAGGTGGAGATGTAGCTCTTCCCTGCTCCACCCTCTGGCCCTCAGGTGGAGATGTAGCTCTTCCCTGCTCCACCCTCAGGTCCACAGGTGGTGTTGCAGCTCTTCCCTGCTCCACCTTTGGGCTCCATGATATTTACACCAGTGAGCTCACAGGTTCCTGTCCTGGTCGCTGCTCCACAGGCTCTGAATGCCAGCCTCTCTCTGCTTTTTCTGCTCCTAGTCCTGCTCCTAGTCCTGCTCCTAGTCCTGCTCCTAGTCCTGCTCCTAGTCCTGCTCCTGCTCCATACAGCCACAAACTGACCCGCAAAGTACTGCCCAACACGTGTGAAGGTGTGGGAGGTTTGGGACAGCGGACACTGGACACAGCCAGTACAGGGAGTAGTGAACTACATTGTGCCAAACGAGCAGTGGTTGGCGGACATAACAAAATGTATATCCCCCCCACCAGAGGCATGGACACTGATTTATGTATATAGTTCGGTGTATAGTTTGATATTTATTTATATATATGATATGTATATATTTTATTAAGTTTATGATAATGTTTATTTGATGTTAAAACTCATTTAGAGTGTTATTTTGTTATACTGCACCTTACTTACTTTTAAGGGTTGTTTTACATTTTATTAAGTTGAACTACTTTAAAATAAAGGTTTGGTTCTATCAAGTACGTGACTGTCCAATAATTGAGTGGAGTGCTATGTTTAGAATTTCTATAGGTTTTCTCTTTGTTTGTTAAAAGACAGACATTATAACACCAATAGCTTCTTAGTTCATATTAAATGTAATGGTTACATTTCATTATTTTATCCACAGCACACAAACCATGAGCTTCAATACAGGTCCATATTGGTTACTTCAAAACTATCCCTGATAAAGAAAATAATAATAATTGTATGTAATAAACTTGAAAGAAGTAGATACGTTTTACTTAATATTTATTAGAAATATATAATATTGAATAGAAATGTGTTAATAGTTAACTGCATAACACAAGTCAACAAACGCATACTTTGTTGGTCTTTATTAAAGTACTTCTGTATATAAATACTTTTACATGCTGCAGAAGGGAAACAGGGAGCAAGAGAATAGTTTTTTTCTCCTCTTTTTCTCTTTTTCCTCTCTTTTTCCCTCTTTTTTCCTCCTTTTTCTTCTTCCCCCTTCTTCCCCCTTCTTCTCCTTTCTCCCCCCCACTTGCAAGACTATTGTTCCCCAGCTTTGGCGCAGTGGATAGTGTGTTGGTGTTGGGATCAGGGGGTCACAGGTTCAAACCCCACTGCAGTCAGCATGTCGTTGTGTCCCTGGGCAAGACACTTCACCCCAAATTGCTCCTGTGGGGATTGCCCACAGTATTAAGTATGTAAGTCGCTTTGGATAAAAGCGTCTAACAAGTAACATGTAATGTTATGTCTGTGTGTGGAGATGTTTAATGACAGCAGCAATGGACTGTAGAATCAGTCAGTACACTGTGATGGCAGCTTCTATTGGGACAACTTTAGTTAAATTTATTAAGCTGTTGTTGCAGGTAGTTGCTCTTCTTACAGTTTTTCTTGATTGCTAACACACATTTTTTTTTTAATTGCTCAGTTTCTCAGAACACTAAACACAATTCACAAAACCACACACCCAAAGTGCAAAACACCTAATTTCTCCTGCTAAATGAAGAACTGCACTCAAGTCTAAGTGTCCTGATTACAGAGGCAACAGTTAATCGGCTTAGATTAGGCTGAACCCTCTGTCCAGCCTCTCTCATCGTCAAACCATGGTTGATTTCATTTCATTAGAGAGTATTCTTCTTTGTCCACGTCCTCTCCCTCCAGCTCTACAGTACCTCTCATTCTTCCTCCTCTCACTCTCACCCACCTCTTCCTCCTCCTCTCACTCTCAGCCCAGCTCTTACTCTTCCTCTTCCTCTTGCTCTTGCTTCCATGCTGGCTTCTAGGAGGAGATTCATGTGATAAGGGGGAGGGGGGGGGGAATGTATGCATGACACATTCTTCCCACAATCTTTTAAGAATGTCTTTAACTGTTAGTAACCATTGAATAAAGTAATTGCCTCCATTAATCATTTCTAATCAGCACGCACTGCCATGACTCAAGCCCAATAACTCCACCTCTGGTAATCTCTGAAGTTTTGTAATGCTGACAATATTGTGAGATGTTGTCCCTCAAAACTAAAGCCACACCTAAATATTATTTTCATAATCAATTAATCCACTGATTATCTTGTGGATTTATTATGTTCTCTGTAAAATGTCAGAGCTCACCTTTAGGAAATCTTCTGTCTCAGATTTTGGAGGCAAGAAAAAGATCAAGAGTGGAGCCCCGGTCGGTGAGATCGATATGCAACCTTTGGGTGAGACCTTATATGGAAACAAAATTGAGGGTTGATGTCTTAAATAACAGGAAAATACATGTAATGGTTTGTGATTGTGAGCTAAAATGCATCACCAATTGTGGGAAAATTACCTGTCCTCTATGTTCCTGTGTATTTCAGGTTTTTTATCACATGTCCAGTGAGCCATATCTTCTACCAGCTGATGGAGGTGTGGATGCCCACAACAGAACCGCTCTGCATAGTCAAACGTTTGCTACTGGGTCGGCTTATTTTTGCCCCTGGCTTTCTGCTGATTTTCTACTTTGTTATGAACATCCTGGAGGTAGGTCATCTCAGAAACTGTCCCCCTTACCCTCAGATTAAAGGAGCTCTGTAGTGATTTGAAATGCTCCGGCATTACGTTGTGGGAACTACACAATTGCAGCAGCAGAGGGAGCAATTGGTTTTAGTATGGTTGAAGTAAAAAAATGGAGGATACACTTCCTGTCATGCAACGTGAAAGCATATTTTCAATAGCCCAGTTAGTCACAACAGTTTTTTTGATTAAATGTGTTTGCATTATACAGGTTTAATAGAACTTCCTATTAAAGGTCTTTACAGTTTTAAAAAGCCCCTGAAATGACCTTCCTAGATCTGGATCAAACCCGTCTTTTATTGAAAACCTGTGCTCCAGACTCATGCAGAACTGACATTGAACCCACCTGTTCTTCTCTTGCTAAATTTGATAAAACATGGCCAAACCGATCATTATCTCAGATAAAATTATATTTATTAGTGAACAGATTTGTGAATACTTGATTCTGATTGTCAACTGCATTCTTCTGTCTGTTTTTCGATACAACAGACCTCTGCTATGCAAAAAAGATCATTGCTATGCTCGCAGTTCTCTTTCCCATTACTAATCTGATATCTTAAAATGGCAAACTGCCCCTTTTAACATATGATTAAAACACTCATGCAATGCTTCATCCTACATTTTGACCACAGTATTTGTTCCAGTGTCTTCATGTTAATTGTGTAGTAAACACATGCTATATCGTTTTCATATAGACAAATGAAAAATAAATTAAACGACCATCCCATCTTTTTCCCAGGCAAAAGGATGGAGAGAGTTTGAAAGCAAGATGAGAGGAAGTTACTGGACTGCCTTGAAAATGAACTGGAAAGTGTGGACTCCCTTTCAGTTCGTCAATATCAACTTTGTGCCTGTCGAGGTATGCCCTTCATTCATTGGCATCCTGTCATCAAACAAAAGATGAATCACTTGTAATGGTTTCCCCCTTCCCTTCCCTTCCTGTCTCTGTTTTTGCTTTCACTTCCGAGTGCTGTTTGCCAACATGGTCGCCTTATTTTGGTACGCCTACCTTGCATCTGTGAGGAAATAAAGCTTCCCGACCTAACCTCACTGAAGCTGTGGCTTTAACATCGGGCTGTTTCCTCTACTACCTTTTGACCTGTTTCTAAGATGGACACTAATTCTCACATACAGTTATTTGGATACACCTAAGAAACCTGTACAATGAATTTAAGCCTTTATAACATACTGCTTTGGTATGTTAGTACATTTGTAATGACAACATAATACATGTAAGTGTTTTTTTTTACAGAGCACTGCTTACAGAAATGTGATACTGTAGTGAACATTGATTATGATTTTGATCATAATGTCAATTTGAATCCAATGCTAAAGTGTGCCTTTCTGGTTACTTCGTATGGTTGTGGTCTGTACAGAGTGCAGCTCAACCCTGAGCTGAAGATTCAGTAAAGAACAGGAAAAGGACGAAGGGCAGGAGGTTAAGAGCATCTGCACAGCAGGAGTCAGCAGTTTGACATCACTGTTATCAGGAGGCGGCAGACACAAGGATGGTGCTCCATGCTATACATCTTGCAGAGTCATATTCCCGGATCATTGTGAGGTCTGATGACACAGATGTGGAAGTACTGCTCATATATTATGCAAGCAAATACATGTTTGGTTCATCTCTAGTGTACATGCATGCAGGCCATGGAATGAGAGAGAGATATGTCGCCATCAACACCATATGTGAGAAAATTGGAAAAGACATGTCTAACTGTCTAACTGTCTACCAGCATGTCATGCACTCACTGGCTGTGGCACAACCATAGACTGTATATATAAATGGACGTAGGGTCCGTGACGTCACCCATAGGATTCTGCAGAGTTGCCGAGAAGCCCTTAGTAGGCGGAGTCGGCCACTAACGGCTCGACAGTGGCGTCAGAGTTCCACTCCCGCCTGCTCCAAATAAGGGCAAAGAGGCGGAGCCGAGGCGGGACCTGCTGCCTCCGGGCTGGAAGTTACAGAGCTAGCTCAAGCTACCAAGCTAAGCTAACATGCTCACTATCTGCACACTGCCGTCGCATTTTACGTTTCTAATGCTGCGTTCACACCGGACGCGATGCGATGTT